TTATTACAATCTGTTGAATATAGTTCCCTGTGCTATATAGTAGGATCTTGTTGTTTATCTAATTTGTGTATAGTAGTTTGTATCTGCTAATCCCAAACTCCTAATTTATCCCTCCCCACTTTCCCTTTTGGTAACCATAGGTTTTTTATGTCTGTGAGTCTGTTTCTGTTTTGTAAATAAGTTCATTTGTGTCATTTTTGTGGATGTCACATGTAAGTGATACCATATTTGTCTTTCTCTGTCTGCCTTCACTTCATATGATAATCTCTAGGTCCATCCATGTTGCTGCAAATGGCATTATTTAATTCTTTTTCATGGCTGAGTAGTTTTCTGTTGTATATGTATACCACAACTTCTTTATCCAGTCATCTGTTGATGGACACTTATGTTGCTTCCATGTCTTGACTATTGTAAATAGTTCTGGTGTAGAACATTGGGATAAATTAGTCTTTAAGGAGATTGAATGGACTAGGGGAAATAGTTGGTGTTAAGGGCACCCTCAAGGTCCAAATTACTGTTTTGTTTTGGGGAGGAGGGTATAGCTCAGTGGTAGAGTACGTGCTTATCATTCATGAGGTCCTGGGTTCAATCCCCAGTACCTCCATTAAAAAATAAATAAGTAAACATAATTACCTCTCCCCCAACAAATTATTGTTTGGTTTTATTTACCTATTATTTCGTAACTCAGGATTCTGTCACAGTATGTCTTACTGAAAATTTAAGCATGCTTTATTAGCATGTCATCACAGTTCTGGTTTCCAGAAAAGAGGCATCAGAAAATATCCCAAAGAGGGATGGGAAATCAGGATGGCTGCTTTATGTTGGAGGGTCAGGAATGAGCTCAGATAAATGACATTTGAGCAGAGACCTGAGGAAGTAAGGGAGTAAGGCATAGATTTATCTGGGGTGGGGCTAGGAGGCCAGGCTCTTGTATCCATGTCTACTTTATAAATAGACGTATTGAATGGGAGAGGTGATGTCCATTTTTATGTCAACATGCTGCTACTTTTTACTAAATGATGAAACTTGAAGTACATCCCATCCACTCTTCCTGAAATACAACTCCATATATACTTAATGTTACCTTTTTGAGTATCACACTTGAGGTTTTATAGATAGATTGAACCTGTTCCACCTAGCTGTACTTAGTGTTTCTTTATTGATGAAATTGTCACAGCCTGGCCAATGGGAGCCTCATTAAACTGGATGCTTTGCCCTCTCAGTACTGGCTTGGACATTTTCTTAAAGCATCTTTGTTTTCTGGCAACAAAATATTCTAGGCCCACTCTTATCCCTGCCCCTAAACATATAATTGCTCCTCTCCAAGAAGCCCTGAGTAGTATCAGAGGCCCAGTCTGGCTCAGGAGTATACAGCCCACTTGATTCACATTAAGAACTAGTCGTGGCAGGATGACACTGCTCTTGGGCTACAAGGGAAACACAGGCCTAAGAGACAAATCTCTTTAAGGTCTCTCCTTTAACAGACATCTCCAGTTTAGCTGTCATCACTAAGTCCTTTCTCACTTCATTCTAAAACGATTTTTGTCTTACAACACATCTACTTAAAGTTTAATTCCTTTGTTACTGGATAAACAAAATGAGGTACATCCACAATGGAATACTCTGCAGCAATAAAAAAGAATGGGCTGCTCGCTACATGTTATGTGGATAAACCTCAAAAACATGCTTAGTGAAAGAAGCCAGACCCAAAAGATGTAATGCTGTATGGTTCCATTTATATGTGAACTGTCCACCAAAGATAAATCTTTAGAGACAAAGCAGATCAGTGGTCACCCGGGCTGGGATCGGAGTAGGGGATGAGAGGGATTGTGGTGAGGAATTGTACAACTCCATAAACCCAGTCAAAATCATAAACTTACATTTAAAACAGGTCAGTTTTATCGGCATGTAAATTATCTTAATACGATTGTTAAAAAATTAAACCCTTCTTCCAACTTCTACTTGAACCTCAGATGGTTATACTGATCCAAGATGTTCCACTATATTGACTTTATTAACTAAAAAAAAAAACCCCTTAGTTTCCATAACTTGCAGTTTATAGACCCCTCCTGGTCACAAATCTGCCTTATTCTTTTTAATAGCTGTATCCTTGTTTGGATACCAAGCAGACCCAGAACATGACAATTTATTGCTCATCTCTTCATTCCTACCATTTTTTCACACAGGCGCTTCCCTTCTATGAAATATTTTGATTATTTCCCCCTCTGGTGACTGAAGAAGAGACCAACAGTTGCTGTGACTGTGACTTCTGCCGTGCCACTGTGAGGAGTGAGTGTGAAGCTTTGCTCACTAGCTTTTCCCAAAATACGTAAACATCACCTAAACCAACTTCTGACCTTTGGGGGTAGAAGTCCATAAATGACACATTTTACTTGAAAATACTGGATTTAATAGAAAATATCACATTGTAAACAAGTCCACTGATCCATTAGCTTAAAACAGCATGATAGCACAATCACGTATAAAAGCTAAAGATGAAACGCTGGTACCAGACACAGCACTTACAGAGAGGCCTAAGCCAGGCTCTGAAAGGTCTTTCCTAGAAATAGAAGCAGCAGCAGCTTCGAACAGGCACAAAAAATAGGAAGGAGGAGGCAGCATCCACACCATCCAGGCATAAGAGTAAAAGGAAGGCAGAGCAATAAACTCATTTTGTGAACAAAGGGTGAGGGGCCAATAAAAGGGCAAAAGCAGTGTATTTCCTGATGTCTAGGGAACATCAGACCTTGCCACGTGAACCCGGGAGGGTAAGGAGGGCAGGGTATTTTAAGTGGGGAAAGGATAGTAAGCGGCCTCAGAAGCAGTTGGTATGTTTTTGGCACTCAACTCTCAGGGACACAGGAGAACTTGTGATTTGTGTGTTGTTTCTAAACTAATCATCGAGCTGCTTGCCCTGGCCCCATAACCTCGTTGAACACAACAGTGAATCCTGGCGGTGTCTGTTGCCCCAGTGGACTGCCTACGTATGAGTGAGTATGTCAGAGGCGCCACACTGAGACCTTGGAACAAAACACAGGGCTCTGGTGGGAAAAAGGTTTCCGCCTCCCTCCCGGTGCTGGAGGGCCCCTGAGGGAGGGGAGTTTGACCTGGCTGGGCCCTTTGAGGCTCTGGGTTTTATCAGCAAAAGCTTCTCTTTAGCTCCACCCACCCAAGGAGTCCTCTGAGTTCATGGAAAGGCCAAATGAGACAGCAGGAAAAAACAACTGGGGAAAGAAAGTAAGGGACAGTTTCCTTCCCACAGCGCTTGTTACTGACCAGAGGGACGGCTTCCCTACACTGATGTTAGACATTGAGAGTGTTCGTTCCTCAATCGGGAACAGTGATTTTCAAATAAGGGACAAGCCTGCTTCAGGGGGGCTCTTAAGATTCTCCAAAGAGGTTTTGTCCAATGTACATAAGCTCCTAACTCCCTCTCAGCTGACAGTGCCCAGAATGATAGAAAGTCCTAACAGGAGAGTACTGCACATGTGAACAGTGTCAGAGGCAGGATAAAAAGCTGAAAACCCCTAGTCGGTGGGGCGACATCAAAATTATGGAGTGATTTTTTTTCTTTTTTTCTGATTAAGAGTAAGTTACAAACAAGTAGCTAAACTCCAGGACTGGACTCCACACTGCAGAGCTAAGAACAGTAAGTTCACCCACTTATCTGGAGTAACCATACTAGATTAAAGAAATATAATTCTGTCCTCCCAAAGACAATTTCCAGAAAGACCCGCCTGTCCCAATGAGGTACTTGACACTAGGATTAGCACAGGCTAATCACTGTATGGTTTCTTAGAAGACTGGCTTTTCTCTGTTTCTTTCTCTTTGATACTGTACAAGGGGTCCACCAACTTGTTATGAACAAGCATTAAACCTACAAAAAATTAAAAACAAAAAGTCGTTAATGCAGGCAGAGGCAGAGTATCAGCACTAACATCCAGGAGCTCTCAAATTCTGTCCCAGAACTGACTCATCATCTTTCCTCTGTGGCCCCAAATGATAAACACTCTAAGAACAGGAAAAGAAGTTGTTACTGCTAATGAATGCTAGAATCCATGTGGCCTTTATTAATTCAGCCTCTAGAAGAGTTGGCCATTAAAAGGTTAATCTTTTCACCAAAGAACAAATCCCTAATTTGCCTGCTCACTAAATGTGAGTGTCCTTTTAAAGGGAAGGGAAAAAATCTTCCTGACAGTTCAGTGCCTTGCCTAGAAGGAAAAGGCCCGTACGAGTTCTAGAAAGACTGAAAAACCTGAAGCTCAGTATCGCTGCAAGGAGATTACCAAATAGCTCTTGAAACTATGACTTTTCATTTCACTTTCTTCCCTTCTCTTCAGAGCAAACAGGCCTCCAGAAATGGACCCTTGCAGTCATAGATGGAAGAGAAAGCTGTGTTCTGAGGGTAGGGTTTGATTTTTATTAAAATCAGAGCTGTCTAGTTAAAGTGGCCAAAGCATGCAAGCTAGACTCATGCCTCACTCCTGGCACACCTGAACTTGGCCACCAGCCCAGCCCACTCCTCTGTCACCTTTGAAATACTTGACGGTCTTCACTTTCAACTCCAGGGTGGCATCCTCGTCGCACACAAACACCGTGCGGGGATGCTGCTGGAAGGCAGACACGGTCCACATGTGGTTCACCCCCTCCTCAATGGCCTTGTACAGAGCAAAGGCCTTGTGAGCACCTGTGATGAGGATCATCACCTGGGGATTGGAAAACAAGTCTGTGATGGAGGAGAAGGAGCAGCGGAGCTGGGCATCCAGACACCTGCATTCTAGTCTGGCCACCCAAAACGATTGTAAGAACTGTTGTTTTTATATACCGCTGTAAGTAGTTAGCATGCGGCACACTGTGCTCCATGCTCTGTGTGCTTTATCAAACAAGTAGCCTGAGGTGGGGAGCACCCTTATCCCCATGTCCTAGGATAAGGAAGTAGGCTCTGTGACAGGGGGTTAAGTAACTTGCCCCAGGTTGTTTCTGACTCAGACTCCATGTTCTTGACTGCCACGTTATTACTGCCTCCTGGCACCTTTGACGATGACTGTGAAAGTGCCCCATAACAGATGCGCCATACAAAGGCCCACTCCTTATCCCAGCAGTTCCGATCCTGGGCCCAGGGGCTCCTAGGCTAGGTGAGCTTTCACAGTCATAAATGATAAAAGAGGGGACCCAATCTGCACCACCTACAAGGAGGCCTTGGAAGTTACCTGTGTGGCTACTAAGGTCAGACCTCAACAAGGCTGCCCCTTAAACTGGTCACTTTCAGTTCAGAGTATCAGACCTACTCATGTGACTTAGAGTAATGCTTTTTGTCTAAACAAAACGCACAAACTCGTCTCAGCAGTTAAAGTATCAGGACATGTAAGTGCTGGAAAGTGATTAGAAAGAATTCAGCTCTGCAGATACCCTTTCACTGGAATTCACTTGTACCATGGATTGTGAGCAGGATTTGCTGTTCCTTTCTTGAAAGATGAGAAAACAGAGGCATAGAGAAAATGTGATTCTGCTCAGGACCCCAGAACTCATTTTAGAAAAGAGAATTTCATAATTCCCAGCCCCAGGTCCTTTCCCAGATCAAGGTACACCACACAGAACAGGAAAAGCCCTTAGATGTAGTGTTTACAGGCTGCAAGGCCAAAAACAGTGACCTCCCTAGGTACTGACTCAAAATCGCCCAACAGAAATCTGGTGCTATTGCTCATTTCACAAAAGTCACTTTAGACTGGGAATCATTTTCACTGATTTACATGTTTATTTACAGACTTGGGCAAAGAAACCTGAATCTAAAATGTCTGTAGCTGCTTTCCACTGAATATATCCCAGAAATAAAGAGAAAATACTTCTAATGCAAGTAAGGAAACTGGAACCACAAAAAATTCAAATAATACCTAACTTTCTATGGAAAGACTCACTAAATTCAACTCAAGACACTTACATATCTATCACACTTGTCCACATTTATGAATCTGAGCACAGAGCTACAACCACAAGCCTCCTGCAGTTGCAAGGGGAGCTCCCTTCAGTGACCACCACTGCAGAGAACCAGAGGGCTCCTCTCAGTATCTGAGCAGGTACAAGTCACATTCTGACATTAGTGGAGTGGGGCTCCTATTGCCTGTGACAACTGGAAAGGGGTAGGTAAGTAAGTAGAGACCAGGAGCCTGGGGCCTCCTGGGCAGTCAGTGCTGAAAGGTTTCATCTTACACTGGGAACCATGGTTACCTCCACAGAGGAAGGAGATCAGTGATAGGGTCACTTGGAATTTTAGCCTTATTTTAGAATGTCTTTATTTTTAACAAACATGTATTCAGGTGGTAACTGTATCGTTTAATAGCAAAAAGGTAAGTCCAGCCCCCCAGTAAAGGCCTGTGGATCCCCTGATCCTTACCTCTCTAGCATCCATGACAGTGCCCACGCCTACTGTCAGGGCCATGGTGGGCACCTTGGTGAGATCTCCATCAAAGAACCTAGCGTTGGCGAGGATGGTGTCCATAGCCAGCGTCTTCACACGGGTCCTGGACACCAGACTGGAGCCCGGTTCATTGAAGGCAATGTGTCCATCAGGGCCAATGCCTGCCCAGGAGAGACAGTCAATGCAGCCCTGTCAGTCCCAGGGATCCAAGATTTCAAGAATGAATAATCTCTTCTTCCCGACTTGGGGTCTGAAAAAAACTGTCTCTCTTGCCTCATTCACCCCATGGGCAGGTAGACTTTAAGCATATGATCTTCTCTCATTTCCATCTGAGGCACACATAGACATTGTTAACTTGCTACCACCCTTAGAAAGCTAAGCAGGGAGCAATCCAGAAAGCTTCTGCCTCCCCACATCATCCAAGTGTAACTTCTTTCTCTCCTGCCAGTAGTCAGGGGTCCCACCCCTGGGATAAAGTTGCAGCGAACAAAACACAGGGCCTGGAAAGGGACTGCCAAGTTTATAAAATCTCAGAACATGAGCACTCCTAGCCTCTTCCTCCCCACCTTGAAGTAAAGAAGGGTTAAATTTGGAGCAACAGAGAGACTGTTCAACTGCATACCCGTGTGGGTAACCCCAGAGGCAGTGACAGATGGAAATGTAAGAGGGCAGCTCAGGGTAGGAACCAGCACAGACCTGACAGGGAGGCACCAGAGGTCCCACCCTCTCTCCACCGCTCTAACCGGCTGACCCTGGACAAGTCACAAAATGTCTCTGGGGTTCAATGCTATCTAGAGCATGCAGAGGCTGATGGTAGAATCTTCTGAAGCTATATGAGGCTGTGATTTTGAATGTTTAACTAAGCCCCAGGACTGATCATAAAACCTTCACTGGGGAATAGACTCTTGAGTCCAAATCCAAACACCTCAATTGACAGATAAGACAGACAAATGCAGAAAGAGGAGATGCCCAAAATCAGGGCTCCTATTCTGTGCCTGCCCTGCTGCCTCAGGCTAAGAAATGGCCCGCACTGTCAGCCATGCAGAGAGAGGAAGCTGTGTGGAGACAGGCGTGGGTCTTGTCCTCCTTCCCCTATGTCCCAGCCGCGCTGGGCCCGCGCTGGGCACTGCAGTGTTGAGCTCACCTCCAACAAACAGCTCAATCCCACCCGCAGCCTTGATCTTCTCTTCAAAGGCGTCACACTCGGCCTGCAGGTCAGCTGCGTTCCCGTCTAGAATGTGGGTGTTTTCTGGGTGGATGTCAATGTGCTTGAAGAAGTTGTTCCACATGAAGGAGTGGTAGCTCTCCGGGTGGTCTCGAGGAAGGCCTGTGGAGCCGCGGCCGCACTGTCAGGCCAGGCAGAGGCACAGCTGGGATACCCCCAGACCCTGGGAGGCACTTCCAGGGAAGTGCTCATCAGGGAGCCAGCCCTCGCACCCTCAGTCGCGCGGGAGAGGCTGGGCTGCTGTGCCCGTCTACCCACCACCATGGCCCGCGGCCGTGGAACTGAGCCACAGGAGCTACACACCGGGGACCTGAGGAATCCCCTCATTCTGATTCCTTTTCACAGGGAATGACTGGAGGCCAGGGCCACTCTGGCCCTCTGGAGGTGGGCTAGCCTCCTGCGGTTAGGCTGGGCCCATCTGGGCAAAGAAGCAAGCACGCCCCTTTCCCTGTGCCTCTCACCCCATCACTCACCCCTAGTTATACCCTGCTTAGCCTGAACCCCAACTTGAACACCAGGAGGTTGGAGAGAATTATTTCAGGGCTTCCCCAAAAGGTTTTTTTTCAGTCAAGAAGAAAAAGAATGTTTAAAATGCATGTTTCAGGGGCTGGGGGAGTGGGGAAATGGGTAGTAAGTATTTAACGGGTAGAGAGTTTCAATTTTGCAAGATGAAAAGAGTTCTGGAGATTTGTTGCACAACACTGTGAACTTGCTTAATGCTGCTGAACAGTACTCGTAAAAATGGTTAAGATGGTAAACTTTATGTGTATTTTACCACAATTAAAAAAAAAAAAAAGAATGTTTAAAGTGAAACCATGTGGGTAGGGGGTATAGCTCAGTGGTAGACCATGTGCTTGGTATGCACAAGGTCCTGGGTTCAATCCCCAGTGCCTCTGTAAAACGGGAAAAAAAAAAAAACAAGAATAAAGTGAAGCCATTACAAAATGATGCTGGTAGGTGGGGAGGGTAACAGAAGCCCAAGGTGCCACTTTTCAGCAATAGAAAAGGACACCAGTCTCAGCTCCCCTCCCAGGGCACTTGGCAGGAAGGGGAACTGGAAGGTGAACAGTGGAGAGACAGTCCAGCACAGACACTGGGGGGAACACATCCCAGCCATAGGACTCCAGATCCCATTTGTAATCATTTGTTCCAGAAAGAAACGGCATGGAGTTGGGGAGGAGGCAGAGGAGGAGATACACTAATATTTATTAAGCACTTGCTCTGTATAAGAAGCTTCCACTTCTGTTACATCACTTAATGCTTGCAGCCTATGAGGTCAGCTTTATTACCCTCATATCATAGCTGGGTAAACCAAGGCCTGGAAGATACAGGTATCATCAACTGAGCCTACCGCCAACGTCACTGGTTTCCTGAGACATCCTGGATCCTCTTCTGAGCTGATCCTGTGAGAGGAGGAGTCAACTCTTCTGGAACCAGGTAAGACCTCAAAATACAAAGACTCACCCACATACTCATCCATGTTGAAAGTCTTCACATATTTGAAGGACAGGTCTCCATTCTTATAGTACTCAATCAGCTTCTTGTAGCAGCCAAGCGGGGTGCTCCCTGCCAAGAGAGGCCACAGCTATGAACCCCTTCAGCCCCCAGTTCCTGGAAGCCCAGAGGGTACTCAGGAATGAGTCAGGGCTGCTCCACCAGGAGAAACTGTCAGATCTGAGAGAAACAAGTCAGATCTTGAGTCCTACCCAGTGCTCCAATCCCAACTGCCATCCATTGCTTGTTTAATGCCTCTTCCCCTCCTAGACTGTAAGCTCCAGGAGAGTGGGGCTGTGTCTGTCTTGTTCACTGCCCAATCTCTAGCACTCAGCACACTGATGATCGAAATGACTATGATTAGCACGCAAGTGAACATCAGACTTAACTACTGACATGATATTCCCTGAGCAACCAGTATGTGAGAGGCACAAGGCCACCCAGAGAACTGAGGGACACAGCAGCTACCTTGGGAGAGCTCACTGTCTAGGAGTGGGGACATGAAGCAGTAATGTCAGCTGTGCACAGGCCCTCCTCTGGGCCGGGGAAGACATCCCTGTGGAGCAGCAAACTCCTCAGTCTCATTAAAAAGTCAGTTATAAAATCCATATAAAAGGCAGGAGGATGGCTGCAGATTTTAAAAAGCCTGACTAGACACTGGATTAATTTAAAAAACTATAAAAGATAAATGTGGACAATTAGGGAAAATTTTAATATAATTTATATTAGATGATGTTGTGGAATTATTTTTAATTTTCTTAATGATAATAATACTGTGATTATGTAAGAGAATGTGTCTATTCTGAGGAGATATGTGCTCAAGGATTTAGAGGTAAAGTGTTAGGATGTCTGGAACTTACTTTCAAGTGGCTCATAAAAAAAATGTGTGTGTATGTGTGTACAGACAGGACATGAGCACAAGAGATGAAAGCAAATGTGGCAGAATGTTAACAATTGGTGAATCTAGGTAAATGGTACTGTACTCTTCTTTCTGCTTTTCTGAATATTTGAAACATTTAAAAATAAAAAGATGGAAATAAAAGAGCCCCACCCAAATCAGATCATTCTTCTCATAACACACTAATGGCCTCTCATTTCACTCTGAGTAATGGACAGTCTTAACAAAGGCCGTACATAATCTGGCCCCTGGCTACCTCTCTCCTCCTTAGGAATCCTGCTCCAAGCAGTTCTACCTCAGGGTCTTTGCACATGGTGTTTGTTGCCTTTGCCAGCAATGCTCTCCTTCAGGAACTGCACAGCTAACTCACCTCTTTAGGCCTTTACAAATGTCACTTTCTCAGAGAGACCATCCCTGCCCCCACATCCAACACTAATCCCCTCCTCCCCGCCTGAACACTCCCCTCTTTCCCTGCTTCATTTTTCTGCTTCCCTCCTATCATCACCTAGCATACTCTATATTTTGCCAATTCCCTTGTTTATTGTCTTGCCCACCACAATTTAAGCTTTAGGAATGCAGGGGGGTGTGTTCTTTTTACTCACTGCTATATCCCTGGCACCTAGAGCAGGTTGGCATACTGTAGGTGTTCAGTGAGTATCTGCTGAATGAATGACAGTGGCAGCCCCATCCACACAAAATTATCAGCCTGTCCCTGTAATACAGCCTTAGCCATGCCTGAGCCACACAGCATTCCTGTTCTTTCCCTGAGCTTCATCATGTCCATTTTCCAACCTTCCAGCATTCCCATCAATTCTGCAAGCCCCCCAGAATCTAGCCAATAAACTCTTTTTCTGCTTAAGTTAGCCAGAGTCAGTTTCAGTGGCTTCCACCCAGAACCCTGACTGGCGCTTCATCTAACAGAAGCCATGGGCCAAGCAACCCACATGCAAATGCTGTGCTGGTTCAAGCGTGACAGTCAAGAAGAGGCCAGGTATTCTTGGAGGGCCCTGAATACCACTTTGAGGGTCTTGGATCTAATTCTGCAGATGATGGGGAACTAGGGAGGGGTTTCAGCAGACACCTAGACTGTGACCCAAGGTCACGCCACAGTTAGTAGACAGGGTGTTAGACATAACCTGAGACGGTGGTTTCACAGGCATGTGCAGATACTGCTCCCACAAACCTCCAGAGCAGAAGTCAGGAACCTTCAGCCCACAGGCCAGATCTAGCCTGCTGCCTATTTTTGTACAGCTCATGAATTAAGAATAGTTTTTACATTTTGAAAGTTTTTAAAACTCAAAATATTATTTTATGATGTGTGAAAATTATGTGTACTCAAATTTCAGTGTCAGTCAAGTTTCACAGGCAGACAGCCACGCCCATTTGTGTATTGTGTATGGCTGCTTTCGAGCTACAAGCGCAGAGCTTAGTAGTAGCAACAGAAGCTGTCTGGCCAGTAAAGCATAAAATATTTACTGTTTGGCCATATACAGAAAGTCTGAAGACTCCCGCTGTAGTGGATGGGCCACTGAGGCAAGTCCACCCCACTTCTGAAAGAAGTAATTAGAACATTAGCCTTGACAAGCTGGGGTCAAAGTATCTTCCCATGAAGGCAACATTTTGATATTTTCCCAGAGAAACTGGGAGTGTTTTTCACTTAGGTCCTGTGTTTAATTAAGCCTTAGAGAAATGCTTTGAGTGACTATCTTCTCAATTCTGTCAAGGATGTTGCTTAGCTAGGAGCACTCTATATGCAGAGAAGAGAAATTAGTTCATTACACAAAATGTATGCCTTCAGGTATTTCGACTTAATTGTGTTAAGGAAACCTGGTTGATAGGGCTGACTTAGGATATAGCTTTAAACTCAGAAAGTCTTTCCTGCCTAACCAAGATCCCTTCTACTCCAGGACTTTTTAGGAGCAAGCAGCAATGGAACCAACCCACGGAGGAAACTGCGTCCTTGGAGTTCTATGTCCAGGGGGCAGGGGAGTTGTTCACTCATAGGGCCAGTACCTCAGAGCTCTCCTTGAAGTCCCCAGGCTGAAGGAGCCTACCAACCTGGCCCCTTAAAAGCTCCTAATGCCCATGCCCACCCTCCCCATCCCACAACGCACCGGTGGGGAGCCCCAGGGTGAAGTACTTGTCTGGCCCTGAGTTAAACTGGATGATGCGGTTCCTGATGTACTTGGCCGCCCACTCACTGGCCTGAGAATAGTGGTCCAGGATGATGAGCTTCATCTTGGCCTGCAGGGGCAGGTGACAAAAGGAATGGGTGGTAAGGGATGGGGAGAAAAGGGTGGAGGTGGTTGGGGTGGAGGGGAGAGGACTCTTGCTGTCTGAGCCAAGAGAAAAGAAAGCCCCCTTCAGTTCACAGAGCATTAACACACTGGGCCAAGCGTCTCCACCACCCATCGGGAGGTGCCGCTGTAGGACGGACCTGAGTTCTAATTCTGGTTCCTTCATTTATCAACTGCAGGACCTTGATTAAAGGAGCCAAGGTCTCTGAGTCTGTTTTCTCTTAGGTAAAAATGGGGACAGCAACACCTACCTGACACATTTCATGACG